AGGAATTGGTCATTTCACTGGTTTCTAGGTTAGCGTGTTGAAGCTGTAGTTCCTTGCAGGCAATATATAAAAATTTCATCCTGAAAATTGCCAGGTTAGCTCAACCTGAGGCAGCTTGAAGAATTGGTAATCCCGAGTACCTATTTAAACATCAACCGTAACTGCCCACCTCTGTCCGCCCTGTCTATCCACCATGACACGCCGCGCTTGCATCAGCAGGCTTCCCTTCCCCCAATGGCACGGACTCACGCAAACGCACTTGCCACCGAGGTCATGCAACACCGCATGGCACAGCGACATCACCTTTCGAAAGCTTTAGCTGTTAGTCTACTGAAGAATCACTATTCTAATGAAGGTTTTTGTGGGGGAAAAGGAAGACCCTTCGACCTGGAGGTTTTTTGCATTTTTGATACGAGTTTAATAACGGATTTTATATATTATTTTCATGGATTACTTTTTTGGGTTTGAAACTCTTTCCAGGTGACCCTATTTTGGACCCCCCGATTTCAGGGACCCCCTATTAGAAAAAAATGCGACCGAGGTTTCCTTATTGGGGGGGGTGGGCCCTCGTGTTTTTTAAAAGGTGGAAGGGATTAATTCCACTGGCTTCTAGGGTAGCGTTTTGAAGTTGCGGTTCCTTTGAAAAGGAACATTAAAAAAGAAATAACACATCCTGAGCATTGCAATGTTAGCTCATTTTCCGCCTCTCGGGCCTGTCCGGTTCCTTGGTGAAACAGGCCACTATCTGTGGAGACCCCAAAACCAACATGAAATCATGCGCCGAGTGCTAAGTTAGCCTCTTGAACATGTTTGCATTTGCTCCGTAGGTTTGGGAGCTCCTGCGTAGTGTGCCCAGCCCCTGACAGCCATCGGTAACCGGTAACCATATTGGTCACTGTATTGAATCTAGACCTGTCCAATGGCAAGGTGGGCCGACCATGAAAGAATGGGAGTGAACTCCACAAGTCCAGAGCTCACTAGCATGGAAATAATCTAAAATGGAGCTCTCAGCTTCTACCGTGACAAAAACAAGTCCAGGGCTCACTAACATGGAAACTCGACAAACAACAACTAACAAAGAAACTGACAGCCCGTGCAACGACAATTCGGGACAGGTCCACTAACGTGAAAAAATAAAAAATAGTCCATTTGCTGTTTCTACGGTGGTTAAGGGGAGAGTATAGTTGTTGTCGTAGTCGTATAGTCGTAGTCGTAGTCCAACGTCGTAGTCGTAGTCCAATGTCGTAGTAGTCGTCGTAGTAGTAGTAGTAGTGGCAGTAGTAGGAGTAGTAGTAGTAGGAGGAGGAGTAGTAGTAGTGGTAGTAGTAGTGGTAGGAGAAGTAGCAGGAGTAGCAGCAGGAGTAGTAGCAGGAGTAGTCGCAGGAGTAGTCGTAGTCGTAGTCGTCGTCGTAGTCGTAGTCGTAGTTGTCGTCGTCGTAAGTCGTAGTCGTAGTCGTAGTCGTAGTCGTAGTAGTAGTCGTCGTCGTACAAGTAGTAGTAGTAGTAGTAGTAGTAGTAGTAGAATAAGAAGTAGTAGTAGTAGTAGAATAAGAAGTAGTAGTAGTAGTGGTAGTAGTAGTAGTAGAAGTAGTAGAAGTAGTAGTAGTAGTAGTCGTAGTATAATCGTCGTCATCGTCGTCGTCTTCTTCGTTGTCGTCGTCGTGGTAGTGGTAGTGGTAGTCATAGTGGTAGTCGTAGTTCTAGTTCTAGTTCTAGCTCTCGTTCTCGTTCTTCTTGTTTTTGTTGTTGTTGTTGTGGTGGTGGTGGTGGTGCTTTTCCTTGCCGTTCTTGCTCTCGTTCTTCTTCTTGTGTTTGTTGTTGCGAGTGATCCACAAGTATCCCAGTTTAGCAGCGTAGCGCTGTAGCGCCTTCCCAGCCGTTTGGCCTTGCCTTGGTTCAATTGGCCAAAGGTACACAGGTGGAATCATGCAGGGTTGATGGGTGAGAAAAACACTGGATGAGTTGACTCTAAGACTACTGCCCAGCTTCAGGATGACCTACTCAGCGTCCGAAGAAAGCTACGAAGTATGGCAAGCTCAATCTTGCGCGCAATGTTTGACCTCCCGCCTTCCATCTTCCGTGGCCTGTAAGAACCACGGTGTACACACACACACCGGGTTGCAATATCAAGCACCACCCAAATAAGAGTTGATGGAGAACAAATTCCTAGCATGTGGAGAGAACATAAAGTATGGTTGCTGTTTGCCGAGCTATTCAGTAAATCCTGCCACAAAGCCTGGAGCTGCTCCGACTGCTTCTGCTGCTGCGACTGCCTTGACGAGAACGACGGCTGTGTCAACGGTGTGTCGATTCCACACGCTTAGTACAGTGCTGCTCGAGCTGGAGCCTGCAGAGCGGCGCAGAGTTGCAGCATGTCCAAAACTATATACTGTAAACAGCAAAAACATGGAAAAAGAACAGGGACCAAAAAAAGGCGATAAACACCATAAGTATGACCACCTCGTCTCCTTTGTCTGCCTGGCAAAGCTTGGAAATCAGCTGCAACAAACCGCTGCAGTCAACCAAGGCCTCGTGAGCGCTTGCCTCGCAGCAGTTCGCTATGCGCCCGCTAGTTTCAGTGTGCTTGTACCGCTCACCTCCCATAGTCGCCCAATTCACAGCTCTCCGAAACCAGGGCTTTGCTCCCCACCTTGGCCACTTTTGTGCAAAACAATGACGCTTGGGGCGTGCAACTCAGTGACAACACGCCCCGCTGCTCTTTCGTTGCATGGCCGGCATGGCCTCATGCGGCTCACCTTTGAGGCTGCGACTCACCTGCTTGACAGGCAGCAAAAAATTGCCTCAGGCGGCTTCTCGACAGGTGCAACTTCAGCGCAACCAGCATAGAAGAAGAACTCAAAGGCCGGCCGAAGAGACTTCTCTGAATGTCGTTTCGGGTCATAGTCTGCCACCTCAACTTGGCGGAACTTCCAAATTCTTCTGAGAAGTCGCCAGTTGATTCTTCCACTCAGTTCTTGGCTCCACCCCTTCCTTGATCACAATAGCTCCACCTAAAATGAAACCAAGCTGGTGCCACGTCGAGATATATATATATATCCAAGGCTTGGGCACCACAACACTCTCTCACAGCTAGAGAGTTTACGCTGCTGAAGGCACTGGCTGGAAAACACAATAAGACTGCGACCACTGTTGCTTGAATGGTTGGCCACCAGATCGTTGACCTGATTCGAGACTGGCACACATCAGCTGTAAACAGAAGTGCATGTTGCATCCATCAAGTTAGACACGGTTTATCTTTGGAACAAACTGAGCTACGTACCCTCCTTTACAAGGCTTATTAAAGCCTGGCATAGAACTCAGTGACCAAAAGTGTAAAAGTGGCAGGTGATGAAGAAAAGCTATTTCAAACATCAGTCTTATGTTCGTTGACAGGTGAAATGACAAAATGCATGAAGAGATGAACTCCATGGCCAAAACCCCGCTCTCCAAATCCAGCACCTCTTTGGAGAGGCTGTCCGGCTCTACTGGCCCAGACGCAGGGATTGGAGCTCCGGCAGTGATAGGGACCTGAACAGAGTCCATTGAAGTCCTTAGGACCTATGCTTTGGATGCCACACTGTAGAAGTTGAGCTACAACTGAAATTCAGAAAAGAATTGTCGGTGTGCAGTTCACTTGCTTCTGAGGATGGCCTGCCAACGAGCTGGCAGCTGCTCCTTCGAAGCGTCCAGTCCCATCCGAATGGCCTCGCCTTTTGCAAAGGCAACCTGGCGCACGGACGGACTGATGCCTCCTGACCTTTCAACACCTTGCTTCACCAAGTCTGAGTTGGGCCTGGATGGGGCCAAGCTCCGCTCGCTCATGAACCTCAAGCCGCTTATGGGCTTAGATTGTTCTAAAGGGCGTGAGGAAGTTTAGAAAGTGACGTGAGCCTCTATGACTCTATGACATGATTCCTTTGTGAGTTGTTGTCCATCTTTCTCTTCCAATTTGCTGCTCGATCCTCTCTGCATCAAGGCGTCAACAAGTACGCGCTTTTCATGCATATCCTCAATGGCTCGCTCTGCATCCTGCTTGCCACGTCAATCTCGCACTTGCCATCAAGGGGCTTGCATCTTTGAGAAGATCAAAGTACTGTCACAAAATTGGTGTCATGATAAACATCACTTTATGCATCTCACACACCTCTATTTTATGTGTATATATATATAGAGTGCTATACTCCAGCTTTGGCCACTAAGAGTTCTTGGAGCGAAGTCAAGGCTGAACTTAAACCCAGGTTGAGTAGGCGAATCGGCCTTTAAGTGCGACAGACGCACAAAGGCACAGCGAGCACCAGATGCACCACGGCCATCAATTAGAAACACCTGTGAAGGAAAGCCAAAAGGACTGAGAAAATGGTAGGACCGGACCATTACGGCCTCAAGCACCTCTCCATACTCTTCAAAAGCCCGAGAAAGGAGGTCTGAGGTTGTCTGGCGCGACATCAAGCGATGTCAATTTGAACACATGTCATTAAACAAAGAAAAGCACATTGAGCCTCCACTGGCAAACGCCCAACGAAAAGCTTCACACCACCCTGTCAGGAACTGCGGAATTGGCTCAGCTTGCTCAAATGGTCAACAACAATTGAAAGTTTCATCTTCGAGCCCACCTTCACACGCTCCACAAGAGGTCGATGGTCCATTGCTGACCTGCAAAGTCATGAAAAGCCTTCATAGCCCATCTTCGTTGAGCGCCCCTTCTTTCGCTTCCCTGCTGCACAAAATCGCCAGGGCTGGCCCAGCCTGCCAGAACTTCGGCTGCCTGGAGGGGCACATGCTTACACAAACCTTGCTAGTGTCTTGTGAGGCCAGAAAACTGTGATATATAATAGGATAATAATATAGTTGATCGAGAGGCAAAAGGCTTCTTAAGAAATCAGCAACACAAGTTCGGAAACTTAATTCACCGTGCAACAAAAAGGCTTAGGCTTCGTGACTAAATTCTTAAGTCATTGGTCCCTTCTTTTGTCCACACCTCGGCTGCCACCACTGCTCCTTTGAAGAAAAAAAACAAGAAGTGAGGCCAGTCTGTAAAATCTACAGTTCACACTCCTGACTACGTACTCCTTTGCTACACCTCTCCTGCGGCGTCTTCGAGAGCTGTGGGAACTGCTGGATCGCCTTATTTGAGATTCGGACAATTTCTGAAAGTTTACAGCTACTGTTTGGTTTGGAAGCGCTGCCTTAAATGCACAAGCACGAAACTGCAATGCTGCAATGCTCTTCGAAGCATGGCAACATACACAACATCGCAAACACGCCGAGTGGCGATTTTCTCTTCCGTCTCCGCCTGCCAAGGATTTCAGGTTCTATGTCACCACAATTCACCCAAGGGCTCAAGCTAGCAAGAAGGGCATCGCTACAAGTAACAAGGGCATCACTACTAGTAGCAAGAAGCTACTAGTACCAAGGGCATTATCCAAACTTTCACACGCTGCTGGTCATTTACTCCACGGCCTTCGGCGGTGCTTCTTTCCCTCCTGAAGCCACAAGGCGCTCAGAAATGACTTCAGCCTAGAGTTTGACTTCAGCCAAGTGTTGATGCCCTTGTTACTAGTAGCGATGCACTTGTTACTAGTTTGAACCAGTTTGCATTCATTCACTTGGCTAGCCACCAATGTGGCTTTCCATGTTCGAATCACCATGACTGTCTGTACCTTGTGCGACCCATCCTTTGCAGCTTCGGCACTGCTAGCTTTGGTGCCTTCGCTACCTTTCAGAGATGCACAACTCACAACCTGTTGTCAGTCGAGCGCACTTCACAAAACCTAAACCTCTCAGTGTCTTTCTTGGGCACCTGACCTTTGTCGTCCATTTCTCCGCTTTTGCTTCTGCTCTCCTCTCAAACTCTGACAATTGGTCCAGCCGGCAAGAAAGCAATACAGTAATAAATGTCCTTGGATCTGTCGGGTCCACTCTTGGAACCTTCAGAGAGGCGGGTCTTCCGCCAGTGGGCAAACAGGTTTGTTCCAAAAAACAGAAATGCTATATAGTATTTTCTAAGACTGAGGGAAGTGCGAGAAGCTTCTGCTAAGCATTTACGCCGCTTCCGCTTTTTCCCTGGGTTGGTTCTAGGTTGTTGATGTACAGAGCTTGCCTTCTATTACTCACCTACTGACTGAGTTGTCTTGTCCTGCTTAAGTTTTGCTTTCTAAGTATGCGACGTCGTTTTTTCTTCGGTTTGTCCTTCAAGCGCGCAGAGATGGATTAGATCTTGCTCATATGAGTTCTTACAAAAAATGTCCGCCAAATTGAACTCATCAGAAAAAGTGTTTCCATTCAACCTCTAGTCTGAGTCTAAAGGCTATTGCAAGGCTTCTGTTGAGATCCAAGCAAAACATACGCTGCTCTGAGACATACTGTAACATTAAGACTCTCCAAGGGTCTTGCAATGAGAAGCCAGACCCCAGTGTCTCATGTTTGGGAGATTAAAATTTTGAGTTGGCAATTAATTCATGTCAACCAACCCACTGGACACTGCTTATAACCAACCGCGGCCACACCAAAACTGACCCAAACACCTCCACCAACAAGTTTACAAAATGTTCTGGATTAAACGTTGTTCAATATCACCCCACAATCTGTGAGAAAAAACCAGATGTTGGGGAGGAACAAGTGATGGTCTGGTCGATTTGATATTGGTTGAGCTGTTCCTCGGCGGCATTCTTCTTCTCACTGTCCTGTCGAGTTGCACTCGGAGGTCTCCACGATATTGTCTTGTATAACTTGTATACTGTAACTGTAATTCCCTCATCATATCTCCAACAAAGCAAGTGGACAATCCGCTGGCTGCAGAGAAAAACGGTCATCGAAACGGACCATATTCCTTCCATGCTTTTTCCAAGGAGTGTATCTATATATATATATACAACAAATCAAAAAGAAACAACTACAGAACTGCCACTACACAGGTTATATGTCATACAAACATGAAGTACGTACTTTCATCCTGTGAAAAATTGTGGCATTAACTCTGCCTCCGCAATAGTCCGCTGGAATTTTTTACGTCCACGCCCTCGGGCTTCTGGGCTCGCCTGCCATCAATTGGAAAGCCTTTGGATGCTGTTAAACCATATTAAACCCACCAATGTCCCAGCAACCTCTGCAGCCCCCAACTACACCTGGGTGGGTTTTGCATCATCCTTCTCATCATCGCTCAACCTTGCACAACGAAGACTGCAGAAGTGTTTGAATGTCAAGCATCATAAGAGCCTAGAAGGCGAGCCAGTCATGGCGACCAGCGCCTGGGCACTTCAAACATATCTGTTTCACTGCACAGTAAACACATTCTGCAGGCAGTCCTGTGTCCATGGGGCACTGCACCAATTGCATTGCCATGTGGGCTTGCAAATTCTAGGGTGCGTTCCTCTCTCTGCTGATGTTTGACCGTCCGGGACACAAATGTTGATTTGCTAAGCACCGTGCCTCGAAACAAACACACCCTGTTGTATTCAGGACCGTATAGTCAAACGCCTTTGTTTTGTGTTCCGTACTTGATCTGGAGCGAAGTTGCTTGTACTGAGTTGAATGTCACCTGTTAACATCATGAAAGAACAAACCACTTCAACTATTTGTCGAATTGCATTGTTCCATTGTAAATTCACACAGCATGGTTTTAACCGAGGTTTTGACTTGCTGTCGAGCTGCACAATAAACATAGAACAATATACCTTGCAACAACAAGTTTTGCGGAAAAATTAGTGACATCATGCACTTTGTTGTGGACATCCAAGGAGTTCCCCCGCGCAAAAACATTGTTTTGGTTCTTCCATGCCTTGAATGCTTTCCCGATGCAAACTGTCTCATGTTTGATACAATATACTCCGGTTTTTAGTCACACCATGACAACAAAATATTTTCGAAAGCCTCGCACCCTCACGTGAACCACAGGGACAGGAAAAAAACAGTTCCCAACCACCAGCCTTTATTGGTGTTGTTCAATCGAGGTGCGAAGCAATCGTGGTCACGGAAGTCAGCGGGTGCGGATGGTGTTGCAAACTGTGAATATCATCTCACGATTCGATTCACAACGCGCGTCACACCGAATCGCAAACTACGCACTTTTCTCGAGTCACAAAGAGCGCTGCAGTAGTACCATGCACTTTTCATGATGCAAGTGATGTGATACACACCCATGCTATGAGCTGAATGGAAAATGGTTCGCACTCCGTCTTGGCGATGTGAGACCCTAATATGCCTCTTCTTTGGGCTCACTATGCCACCATAGCCATAGCCCATTGAATCTAACTCATTCCTTGCTTCTTCCTCTTCTGGGTCTGCTTATTGTTTCCAAGAACTGGGTTCCTGGAGAATGTTTGGCACGTACTGTGGTACATTCGGACGTTCTCTCATCCTGCGTGCGCAATCCAACAAATCTCGACAGTTCTCTTTCCGCTGCATCTGCTGTGTCTGGTATTCCTCTTCCTAGCAAGTTGTAGTTCTGCCAGTTGGAAACAAGCGATGCAAAAAACCACCAAAACCAAAACAACCCGCCCCAAAACCAACGAAAAAACCGCAAGGCCAAGCGGCCGGGAAGGAGACGAACCTTCGTGGTCCCTTGCTGACAGCCAACCATGGATCATCGACAGCGCAACATACCACTTATGAAAGGTCACACTGCTGGCAGAGAACTGCCCTTCCGCTGGCACGCTAGGACTTTCTTTATCGCGGTGGTCATCCGTCAGCCGCTTTCTGGAACCATTTCACGCTCGCCCACTGCTTTCAAACGCAGCTGAAAACAGCTTGCCTGTCGATGTTGTTTTTTTTGCATGAGCGCACAGGTCAGCTTGCGCTAGATTCAATTCGATCTCCTGTGAACCCAAAAAACCAAAAAACACCAAAAACCAACAACCAAAACACCACCAAACAACAAGAAGATCCAACTTTGCACATGCAAAGGTGAGACAATGAAGGTGAGTCAGGCGCAGTGGGCACAATTTGAAAGAGTTTCCCTGGTTTTTTGTCCCAGTTTTCAGGCAGCAACCATTTGTCACAAGCCACCTTGTGGGTCAGCTGCCAAAACAACTGCAAATGCACGGACATCAACAGGAGCGCGAAATTCCGGCCATGGAAAACAGCGAAGCAGTCAACGCCAAAGTGACAAACGAGAGAGAACGACACCTTGACTGTGGCCTGCTTTTCTGTGCAATCAACCTGGATTGACAGTGCTGGCACACACCCCTCCCACCTGCATGCCATGCCACCTCGGGAATGGCTCTCTTGCCCGCATGAGTGTTCCATCCAGCATGTCAGTGTTCTGCGAGTCACCGCAGCGTCTTGCCGAGCTCAGCTTCCAAGACCATGCCTTTGTCGACTTGCCCCTTGTGAGCCCAGCCACCCGTCGGTGATTGTTGACCGTTGGCCAACGGGTTCCCGGTTGACTCCTCCTCAAGACAAGTCCCCAATTCTCCAAGAGGTTCACCGTTCAGGTCAGAATCAAGGTGAGACCTGTCGGTCCCGCACCGTGTGCACCCATCGAGACAACCAAGTCACCAAGAAAGTCCCATACGATCCCAACAAGCCGCAAAGAAAGATGAGGGTGTGACCTGTGGACTGTAGTGCATGGCAGAGGTTGAGGCCACATGTGTTCTCAAGTTTCGAAGAGCGAGGGCTGAAAAAATGCCTTCTGGGCATGCGCCACACTTGCGCGTGCTGAGCTGTCTGGAGCGCAACTTGGTCCCAACGAACCATGATGAACACGGAACCTTGGTGTTCTACAAGTACTTACATTTGAACCACAACGCATCGCATTGAAGGACACTTATCTGTTCATGTGCATATGATAGACTTCAAATATCAAGGATTAAGCACATTGAAACTGTTCTCCACGCTCTTTTCATCTGCTGGAAATTGTTGCTGTTGGACAAGCTTGGGATATGTTATCCAGCTTGATTTCAGTTGATGGTATCGAACGCCCCATCAACTCTCCTTGCCAGAGAGAATATAGCAGCAACAAAAAGCAGGAACTTGTGATAAAAAAAAGGGGAATCTGACAGGAGGGTGATGCACTGCAAGAACTAAGGAGGACCTGGGGCGACTTGAACCGTTAGGATCATTGGACAAGCATCATGGCAACATGATTGATTACCACGCAGGACCTCCAGAGTTGAGTATGGAAAGCTAAATCCATGAGGATGAGGATGAAAAGACCAAAATGGTCAAATCATCGGACCAAAATGGTCTCGGACGCGAAGGCAGAAAATGAGAGATGAACGCTGTGATCTTTGATCGATTTGATAAAAATTCTCGGTGAGACGTGGTGTGAATTCTGAATTCCAGTGAACTCAGTGAGTGTACGTGTCCTTCAAAGGTGTGGGAGGGAGGGTAAAAACAAAGCACTGGAATGCAAATGTAAGTACTTGAGCCAAAATGGAATGGGATTCAAAGTAGTAACTGTAAAACAAAACGAACAAGTACGTTAGTCGTTCTACAAGTACTTTTTGAACCACAACGCATCGCATTGAAGGACACTTATCTGTTCATGCGCATATGATAGACTTCAAATGTCAAGGATTAAGCACATTGAAACTGTTCTCCACGCTCTTTTCATCCGCTGGAAATTGTTGCTGTTGGACAAGCTTGGGATATGTTATCCAGCTTGATTTCAGTTGATGGTATCGAACGCCCATTTAACCTATCAAGTGAAATCGTATCGCCATAACACCCCCTAGAACAGTGATGCGATTTCCAGCAGATTAGATGGGAGAAGGTAGGTTCCATAGCAGATAAGCGTCCTTGGGATGCTTCCTGCATTTCAAGTTCGGCTGCCACAGATCTTTTGCGGAAAAGCGAATGCGTGATTCCATGGAAATCCATAAGGTATTTTGGAATCAAAGGACCATCGGCTGAGATCGTCGGCCATGACATTATCTGCACCAGGGATGTGTGACACATCCAGCTCTACTCCTGTCTTGGAGGCTGGTGTGCTAGGATTTCTGCAAAGAAGCATAACAGTTTTGTTGTGGTGAACATGCGGTTGCTTGAGGCTTCCGCGCCGGAATTATCACTCAATGACTTCAAACAAATCGGGATCCGAAAGCCCGAACTATCTGATGCAATTAGCCATAGCAGTCCGATTTGGCCCAAGGTTTCGAAAACCGAAATATTCTTTTGCATGTTTGAATCCAGCTCAAATGGCAAAAAATTGAAGTCTGAGTGGTGGAATCGTTCAGAAAACCACAAGAACCATCCGGAAGGGTGGGCAATGAATCCACCCAGTTGGCATGATACACCAGCTGCGCAAGCATCTGGGGCCGCTTGACCTGGCCAAATGTCCTTGGGCGTTAAAGGTCTGGTGGGAATGACCGTCGAGATCCATGAACGAAAAAGTTGGAGGATGCGGAAAGACTCCTCACAAATTGTCCGTTTGGAGGATCCTGGATCCTTGACTCGAAGCCAAACTCGTTTGTCAGTGGAAATGTAAACCAGCTGGAGTTCCGTCTTGTTTTGCACTGCTTGCGGACTGCCAACAAAGAGCTGCCAATGGGAATGGCTGATTGGTTCGGGCGAGTTTGAAACACTGAGTCATCCGACAGATAAGCATGCAATCGCGGCCAATCACCTGGATCGATGCTGAAGTGAGTGGCGGGAATGGTGTTCAAGTCTTGATGGAGATAATGAATCCAAATTCGCTGAGGGGGAACAACTGCGTGACTCAGAGCCGTCTGGAGGTCCGAGAGGACCGCATTAAATCTTTCGGTACATGGTTATTTTCTCGAGTTTGGCTGTGGGAACGCTTCCGTGCCAGCTCGAAAGTTAAACGCCCAACCGATCCAATAAATCTTAGCCCTGAGTTCGGTTTTTTTCTATGATCGGGATTTGGGTGATCTGGCAAAAAATGGACAACATACAGCCCATGAGGGGCATGATGTCCGAGTCCATGAAAAACATGAAATCGTCCACGTGCAACATCCGCAGTGCCGAAACCAAATCTGTCTGCAAATACAGTTCTCCTGCTCGGTGAACCACAAGAATTTGCATTTGAGGACCAAATCTTCTGCATGTCAAGAGGCATCCCCATTGACAGTGTTGTGGTGTAGGGAGACATCTTGCCGGTCATTAATTATTTTGAGTGCAAAGGAAGAGTCCGCCACCCCTTTGGCTCAAGGCGTCTCGGCTCAAACTCGGCAAAAGCCGTTGAGCTAGGAGGTTCAAGACTACTTCTTAAAGAGAAGAAGTTTTCTCGGGTCGTTACGCGCAGTTAGATCCTTATTTAGGATTCTTGATCTCACCTCCAAACAGTTGTGTGGTGTCCTTAGACACCGTACAATTCTTATCAAGTGGGGTCCTGAGACTCCATTTGATTGCAATATCCAGCAGCTTTCCTAAAAGCACGCTCGAGGAGTGTCCTTAGACACCTTTTGAGATTCGTCTAGGTTCATTAGTCTC